TTGCACTTCAAAGTACTATATTAGTTATTAAAATTACCTCAATATCGGGCAGATCTCGGGGCATGATGGGTTTGCATAAACATGTCGTGGATAGCTCATCTCGCCCGTTTGATCGTTCTTTGCCAGTCCGTACTCGATAACGAGTGCATCACCTAGAGAAAATTAAATCCTACAAAATTGATTTAAAAAATATACCTCGCCAAGTGACATGTTCAAGTCGTAAATTTGCGGTTGTAATGGACCGAGCCATCAAATTCCAGCACAAGAGCAGAAATGCATGGCAAGTCAAACTCAAGTTGAAATCTTTTGTTGCCTGAAGCGCTTGCTGCGCCAAAAATCGATATCCTAAAATTGTTTGAGAATACATTCAGACGAAAATATTATATCAATCTGCAACCGACATCGGGGCTTTGCCCTCCATAATTCGCAATTCACCACTCGAACGGAGCTGCGCTACCTTGCGCTTGTACCCAGCGCTAAATTCTATTCCACAATCAGTAATAATTACAATATATTCAGAATACCTGCAATCAACGTTTCGATTTTGGAACCTAAGGCCATGCCCCGCTCTGTATATTCATACTTGATCGCACTTTGGACGCCGCTGATGGTAGCGTAGGAGTTGTATTGTCGAGGCACGTTTTCAACACCATGTCGACTCCGTTTGACGGATGAGAAGTTTAACAACGACTTGCACACTGAAACCGAGAGAGGCAGTGCCAGGCGGCCACTGTCAACAGAAGCAGGGTGCTCTGTCTCGAGCCAACGAACCAAACGAGCAAGAGTGGTTTCATACTGCTTTCGTGTATTGCTTACAACACGCAAAGCAATGATTTCATCGCCGGGTTCAGGACGCTGAGATTCATCCGTGCGGGCTTCCCCAGTTCCTTCCATGGCCGTTGTCTTACGAATGTTGTTTCAATATTGATGCGACCTTTCCTGATATTTGTCCGGTTAAACCTTGTTTCGCAAAATCGAAAATATGCTGCATAACTGCCTTTCAATACAAAAGTCATGAATACTTGATTCCATAATTTGGATTTACGAAACACTTTTGTTTCGTAAGTCATAGTATTTTTGGCAAGTGATGTTTCGTAAGTATTTACTATTGTGCCATAAGTCTGTTCTAAATAAGGCCCTGTTCGGGCAACTTCACTGAACAATCACTGAACGTTTCAACACTGAACGATGAGAATTATCCGGTGACTTTATCCGGCCAACATTTTGTCATGTCCGGGGAAACGTCGGAACGGATCGAAGGATGCGAGCGCTGGGTCGTTCATGCGCAATGAGCGCGGGTTGGAGCCTCAACTTCGTCGTAATCGTTAGTCATTAGGTTCATTTATGATGTGGTTGACTCTAAAGCATGACCGAAGTGCTGCCGTGGTCGCTGAGATGTGTGGTGATGCAAGCTGCCATGAAAGTGGTTAGCTGGTACGCGAGCGCTACTGCGCATAGCCCTGTGATATTCACTAGGTCACACACATACGTACATATCTTACTATTCCGCCAAAAAGCGCATTCGCGGAGGGTCTCTAGCCACCTCTACCTGCATGAGCCGACGGCCGATTCTTCGCCGCTCATGTGGACTCCGCCAAACCATGCAATTTACATAATGATACTTTCGAATAATATAACTTGAAATATGTATGAAAATATAATTTCCAATCAATTGCATCCAGTGGTGGGAGGGGTGATCCCAACACGGGATTCCGAGTCCCGTGGTGAAAGTGCCACCACTGAACACTTCCGACACGGAACGCATCCGGATTTCGGATAAGTTAGCCAATCAGAATAAAGTTGTTCAGTGTTGAAACGTTCAGTGATCGTTCAGTGAAGTTGCCCGAACAGGGCCTAAGTATTATCGATAGTAGAGCTCTTTCGAAGATTCGTTGAGTTAGAATTTGAAAGTCAAACATGTCGCAGCGAAGTGAAACTCACGTATAATATTATGGCTCTTTCGAAGACCCCAAGAGTTTGAGTTTGACACAACCCATGAGTGCCCATTACTTCCACTCAGTCAAATAAGTACACTTGGCATCAAAGTCATTGTTCTCGAATAGACAAAATTATCTTATCTGTTAGAGATACAAATTTCAAGAGATATGACCTACTTAGGTGCTTACCGAACATATTGTTCATGTTGATATTATGACTTCTCGCATGCTGGAGTATGATTGAACACAAAGGCTGCAAGGGGAGCCAGCGAAGGTGTTGCTCTACCTTTCAGGTACCAGGTGACACAGGATCATCTCACACAACGCTCGGAAATGTGAATGCTTGATTAAGTCGTGTAAACCAGTATGAAGCGTCGCCAAGCATAGCTTTGCAAGGTACGGTAGCGTTTGCGGAATTACATTCTTTTCCACGTGCAGGAGTTCTGTAGTTTGATTGGTTATAATTTGCATATGACCATGACGCGCCATGTGTCACACCTGACTCCAGCGAAACTCTAAACTCAAATCGTCGTTGAGACATCGGCCGACTTGTGTCAACTGGAGTTGCGTTTCAAATACAGTATGTTTGCATTGGCCAATCAAATCACTGGAAAACACAAGGCGAAACTCAAACTCTAGCTCAACAGGTTTTCGAAAGAGCTCTAGTGTTTAGTTCTATGGTTCTATGGATATGATTGCAGTAATTTCTAGTGAACCTGTGGTATGGATGAATATGACGGTTACTCCGACACTACTTCGTGTTTGTATGCGTGATTCTGGCCAATAAATGAACGATATTTTGCATTATATCCAATCAAGTAAATCCAGACTGTTAATTTAGGCCAATCAGTTCAGGTTTTTGGCGATATTGAGCTGCTCCGATAACTCCGACATATTTTGTTGGAGAAAATTTGAAAATATGCATCCGTAAGTACAAAATTCAAGCTGTTTTCGCATAGCTGACATATTTCCAACTCCTCCGACAAAACATACATTCTGAAAAATCTATAACTGGCCCATTATAAGCCCAATGAGCCTGAGGGATCTAGAGCCCGCGAGTACGAAGAGCGCCAGAGCAACTGCCATCAATGCGTTCAAGCGTTTCGTGGAGAGTGAAGACGTCGCTTACGACTATGTTCATCGATGTATGCAACTTGATCAAACGGGAACGATCTTCGTGGGCGTCGTGGACAAGTTTGGAGCGTATTTGGCGTTTCTTGTGTCTGAGAAGGGGGCTCTACTTGCTCGGAACACAGTGACATCGTACTTTCGAAATGTCAAGCTGTTGCTGATGGAGCTCTACCCTGCATGTCGCAACCAATCGACAACCAACATGCTCAAACTGGGAGTCATCCTGGAACGCTACTGCTTAAAGCGAGACTCTGGTGGAATGGTTGTGAAGGCAACTGCAGCAACAAAGGACGATTTGAACACTTTGATTCAATTCCTCTACTCGACTGCTGTCAATCCCAAAGACTACCACGACGCGTGCCTCTAGCTTTTGTTGTGGTACTGCTTCGGGCGTGCATCGGATCTGTTCGGATCTGTTGTTGCTGAAGCGGCGCAATTTCTCCATGGGGCCACGGAACGTCATGTTCCTGAAACTGATTCGTGTCAAGACATCGGAAGAACAAGGGTTGTCGATATTCCACGACAATTCAGTGTTTACCTGCCCGATAGTCGCGTTGGGTGCGTGGTTGGCAATGGATACAACGCCAGAAGCATCATTATTTGGCTACCTACCAAAGTTCAGTCAAAAGGATTTGCCACCTTTGGACACGGCAGTATCATAGATGGCCATCTTGGACACTGTGGCATCCTTCGACGACGTCGATCTTTGTGGAACGGGCATCCTTGGAACCAGCGCGATAACGTCCGACGGGACAACACGCCTTGGGAGTGGTGGGGCGATGCCTGACGTGTCCGATAATCGTGACATGACGGTGTGGCAACTTTCTACATTGGCGATGATGTGGCAACCTCCTACACCTACACAACCAGTCCTGGAGAAACGAAACGCACCCCAGGCGGCCAACGTGTGCCTGGCGTTTATAAGTACGTGAATCGTCTTTTTGGATCGAATCTCTAAACCTAGCTTGTCCGCTTGATGCGATTATTCCTTCCACATGGTTACAGCTTGGTACCTGGTTCCTCCGACTTTCGCGACGGCGTTCTACACTACGGTTCAGCTGCTGAAACTGCAATCATGGACTATTTCGATCAACGACAAGTTACCTCGAAATCCGCCGGAACGGCTCTCAAGGCGCTTCATACCATGCATCGAAATGGAGACCTGGATGATCGCATCGCGTCGTACTACTGTTTGTTGAATGGAGCGCGGATCACCGACCCATCGCCTATGAGAACGTTGCGCGAGCTCAAACCTCAAGGCATTGTCACGATATGATTCAGTCGTTGAGATATTAGTGACTCAAAACTATTTCTTCATACATCTTCAAACATGTACAAAACATTGCGTATGTACTACTGTAATGAGAAATCCAATCCACGCGTGAATAAAAAATATAACTCCTCAAATGTTCAAATACATATACAATACTGCATTCATATTACTATACCAATCCGGGTGCCAGCATGCGCTTCTGCCTCATACTTCACAGGGCATGCTCCTCGCCGTCCACCGCCAACATCGCTAGTATGGATTGAAGCTTCTAACACGCTTTAACTATCATTTAATATTTTACATAGGTGAATATGATTGTATACCAGTGGTGCGCAGCGCGTGGGGTCCAGGGACGTAGGTGGGGTGCAGTGTATGGGGCGCAGGGCTCATCGTGTGGGATCGAGAGGTGTAGGAGCGTAGGGCTCAGCGTGTGGTGTCGACGGGTGTGGGGTCGAGGCCATTTGGCGGTGGGTTGGGGGCGGGGTAGTTCAACATGTGGATGTTCGCGGGGATGTCGAGCGGTCGGCGGAGAATGTGTCTGAATAGGCGCCAGCAGGCTCGCAAGAGAGTGACTCGGAGGGGTTCACAGTCACAGCGCGTGTACAGCGCGGCGTTGGAGATCCTGTTGGGGTAGAAGAAACGAATGATGCAACGCAGTTGGCGGCGATGGAAGGCCTCGAGGCGAAGCAGTTGGGTCTTGGTGTGTGCCCAGGTGCCGTAATGGTACGTAAGTATGGGGATCACGTAGCAGTTGTAGATGCGGAGGCGAGTGGCTTCAGTGACTTTATCGTCGCGGAACTAGAGACAGTACATGCGGTGGAAGCCTGCCCGGGCGAGGGTGTAGCGGCGATGGAGCTCGGCGGAGTCGTCGAGGTAGGTGCCGAGTTTCTTGTACGTTCTCCAGGCAGTCGTGTCCGTTTGGGAGGTTGGGTCGATGGGCTTGCCTTGGACGACGGTGCGTTCAGTCTTATCGAGGTTCATTGTAGCGACCACGGTGCAAGGATGGCAGGGGAGATAGCGTCCATTTCGTCGATGCTGGAGCACAGGAAGTCGGCGTCGTCGGCATAGGCGATAGTATGGCTAAGGAGATCGCGTGGAACGTGTGGTGATGAGGCGAGGTCGCGCAGAGCGGCCTCAAGGTAGGCTACAAAGAGCACGGGTGAGAGGGAGTTGCCTTGGGGAAAGCCGGTATTGGGGGGGAAGGGTGCGCGGTTTAGCTGGCGACCACCCTGAGAGACAGGGTGGTCGAGGCCAGGAGGAGGGGTTTCGGGGTCTCAAGAGCGGACATCAATAAGGCGCGGTCGACGGTCTCAAGAACGGACATTAATTAGGCGCTGTCGACGGTGTGGGGAGAGGTCGATCCCGAGGATGTAGTGCCACCCCAGGATTGGGCGTTGGTGCAGTAGCTGCGAAGCATCTTAATGGCCAAGGATGTAATCGATATGGTTAAACAGGTGGTGTGTGTCGCGTGGTTGGCACGAGGTGGTCAGTTGGGTGGCGGGCCTTTGGAATAGGGTGTTGAAGGCCACGAGCTTGAGCTCGTCGCAGGCTTTGGCGAGCAAGAGACCATTGCGGCTGCGGCTGCATCGGGTCCAGCGTCCCCTGAAGTTGTCGAGGGAGGTAGCATAGCGGAGTTTGATGTTGAAGTCGCCGCATAGGATGGTAGTGTCCCTGTAAGGGAGGCAACAGTAGGCGGTGCGGAGTGAGTCGTAGAAGTTGTGTGATTCGGATGATGGGCGGTCCATGTGGGGGGCGTAGGCTGTGATGACGTTGAGGCGTTAGAGGTTGACTTGGACGACGGCGATGCGATCGGTGTGGGCCTAGTATGACTGGAGGCGGCTGCGAAGGTTGGGTGCGATGACGAAACCCAGTCCATGTTGGAGTTTTGAGGGGATTGTGAGTAGCAGATAACCATTGATGTCGGTCTGCTGTTGTTGGGTGATGCGTGTTTCCTGGAGATCTAGAATATCCACATTTTACCAGGCGAATTTGGGAAGTGAGGGAGTGGGAGTTAAAGGAGCCGGCGAACGGATGCTTCGGCTCGGCGTTGGGTTCACTGAATGGACGTAGAACTTGTTCCTCTGTTCTAATCAGTGTGATAACTGATTACCATATTTAATAGATCTAGAATATCCACAATAGATATAGAATATCCACATTTTACCAGGCGACGTCTGAGGAGAGTTGGTCCAGGCGAATTTGGGAAGTGAGGGAGCGGGAGTTAAAGGAGCCGGCGAACGGATGCTTCGGCTCGGCGTTGGGTCCACTGAATGGACGTAGAACTTGTTCCTCTGTTCTAATCAGTGTGAAAACTGATTACCATATTTAATATGGGTATTTTTTTCACATTCATTTTTATAGATTCCGGGGGTTCAGGCGGCTTGCCACTGACCTCGGGACAGGTTTCCGAGGGCCCAGCACTCCTCCCTTGTGAAGCCTAACACATCATCATACATCCTTCAAACACATCAAAATAAATCTATCACTGTTTCACTATACCACCTTCATCAAACTGCTTTATACACTCACGTCAATGAATTATTCTTTCACAAGAGCATGTCACAAGCTCAGAAAAATGCCAAAGTTCCACATGATTTTGAGTTCGTTTGTAGGATTTAAACAAAAATCAAGAAATACCTTCTCGGCCTTTTGGCTAAGATCAAGTGTAGTATGTGTTCCGATTTGGTGCATTTTGATTGACCGTTCCAGCTTCTCTTCGCCTGGCCAGCCAGTCACTTTCCAATCTGCCGCCTACCACCGAAGACCCTCAAGACAGCGGAGCCGAGGGGAGCCCCCCTCATCCGGATAGCGTATCCGGAGGCGCCCCCTCCCAGCCGGCGCCTCCGACATTCCGCCGCCGACCGCGAAAAGCAGTCCTAACTCGCACCCAATTCACATATCAGGTGTACTTCACTAAGGTAAATACAAACTCAAGTGGAAATGTTGGTGGGACATCCCATCACTGTTGGGGCAAACTATGACTGGTTGGACGAGGACGACTGGGTGGAAGCAGTCTCTTGGCAAGAATGCAAGTTGATATCATAGAATACATAGTACGAATAGTTCATGCAAATGTCAAGTATTTAAATACAAGTCAAAGAATCAAAGTGAACACGTTTCATTTCAAAATCAGCAATCTCGCACAGAATCGATCCCAAGAAGATCTGCGTAGTGTGCCCCGTGCCATCCTGCAAGACCAAGTGGATCACTTTATCCAACAGGTCTACGCACTACGGCACCCACAAGAACCATGACGACAGCCTGCCTTCCTACAGTGACCGCTTGTACAGGGAAATGGCTGCCGTCGATCATGAAGCGTTCTTCGACCACTGGAAAGTCCATCTACATGACCCCCCCAACTACGTCGGATCACCAGCGACAGACTACGACTCTTTCGTAACGGCAATCGAAGAAACCGGTGTGAGTGCCAACGATGCAATGTTTGGAATGATTGAATTTGTGTGCCGCAAGCTTGGTGGCAACCCCGGAGCCATGGTGCGGGAATATGCAAGGGCAAAGAACTTGACAACGACCGAGGAACCAGACGACCAGCCGGAGGAAGAAATCGCCCAAACGACTCATGTGGCCGCTGGTGCTCCAATTGTGCGTGCTGTGCTCCAACGATCGACAAAGCGTCCTAAAAAGAATTAGTAAAGGTCGTCATGCAAATACATTCGCTTGTGTCAAATTTTGTTGTTTCCTTAAACTGAATCACAATCGCAATTGTGTGGGCATTAGATTCTCGATTTTTTCAAATATCCCGATCTTGTATGGTTCGTTCAATCAAGTGGTCAATCAAATCTACTCTTCGGCCAATGCAACATCGAATTAGAGTGTGACTTAAATTAGTGTGACACTGGACCATTTTGACTTACAAAAGCCAGTACAATGAGTACATCGATAGATTAGCCGAATCAGCACAAGTTCAAATTTTGGGTTAAAGGACAATACGATATATGATGTCTACGACATGTAGTGGCAATACTTTACACACATATACTATTACATATACTAGCATACGTTTTCTAGACGCACTACTTGAATGCGCATATACAAACACTAGGGAGTAATACTTGTCTATATAAAGTGTACTAACTAGTTACACTAGGATACTAAATTGATGGCGGTTGAAAGAACACCGTCAGCTCGTTTCCTGTTACGTTGGTGCGTCGTCGCTTCCGCATACGTGCCACTTGGGAAATGGACTCTTGATAACTGTACACCCGCTGCAGCTGTCGTTGGGCAATGTGTAACTGTCGTGGGTTGTCTTGAATTTCATTGGCATGGCTAATAACCCATTCGGCCAGATTCACTATCGATTCATGCATAACCTTGGTGGTGCCACTTTGAGTATGGTCGTTTTGCACCACTGACGTATCGTTTGAAGTGCTTCCCACATTGCAGATGTCAAGTTCGGCGGAGTGCACGACAATGTTCGCCATGGGCCGATTGGACTCCAGACTTAGCATTTCGGACTTCAACGAGGGGAACGTCCAAAATGGGTACGTAAACCCACGCACCTTAAACTGCGGGGCATATATCTACATCAATATATGAACTCACTGTGCACATAGCAATCATTTGATACGCAGGGTTTCACCTCGTTAGATGCATTCGCAACCATATGTGCAAGAACAAGGTGCTTGCACAGAAGAAACTCGCTGTATGCGAAGGTCCAAGAGGTCAAGCTAGTTGTGTATCCTGTGTTAAATTCGCCCTGCCGGATTTTCATTGCGCATCGTTTCCAATTGGCGTTGAATCTTGTCTCCCAGGTCGGTCTTCCTATTATTCATATAGTACATCTAGGTACAGTACATCTCGATAACATATACAACATCTAGATAACATCGATGGCCTAGTCATGAGAAAGCATGTATATGTGCTAGCTGGGTACGTACCATAGAACATGGACACATTCGTGGCTCGTGTACCATTCTTGAATGTTGTTGGTGATGATATAGCACAGCAAGTCTAATCTGGGTCTCGCGTGTTCCTAGCGGTAGTGATAAACACAACATCACAAAACAAGTTCTCAAGTACCCGTAAAAAATGCATCTTTATTCTGCTGAAATGGGATTCAGCTAGCATACTCGTTTTGGGCACGATACCCCTTGAAGGTACGCTGACCGTGCCCAAAGTGCGTATTCCTTCCATGTGTACCAGTTGATGAACAGGTAAATGAACACATACGGTTCGTTGTGTTCTTTGCACAGCAAGTACATCTCGCGAAGTGCTGTACAATACGCTTTGGTCATGGAATCGTCGTTGATCTACAAAAGAAAGTCTTTACACATGAACTACACGTACTAGACTAACTAGAACGAGTAGACGTTGTACGCTAAGTACACGTACGAGGAAACTATGTAAGATTTGTGTATCTACATGGACTAGAGATAATATGACGTATATGACATAAATACCACGTTTGCAAACATCGGATGTGCTTTGTAATGGACTTTCATTAAGTCCAACACAACATCCGCGACGTCGGTTTGGGCGAAAACGTCGTTCTTGCAAATGCGACGGATGGAAATTGTGGGTCGTAGCCGTCCGTCTCCTTAAGTTCATCGTTTGCAGCATATCTACACCGAATCCACATATGATTACTTACACTCCGAAGTAACACTGAACCAGCGTTTACAGGTCACCTCTTCTTGTCGGGGAGCTGGTACAACAAGCGCATCCGGACTGCACGATCCATGTGCCACAGACACAAGGATATCTTCGCACCAGGCCAGGCGCGTTGCGTGGCAGCAATCTTGCTTGCGTCCATGTCCATATGCACAAAAAGGGCCAGTGCATATTGTTGTTGCAAGAGCGTAAACCAGCTTTCCAGGTACGCAATTCGAACTTCTCCTGTGTCGAATAGTTCAATATGAATTCATGTTTGTTATAGTACAAGTAGATGGGCTAGATGCACTAGATGCAATGTATACAATTGCTGCGTACCGCTCTCCCGAATGAAGAAATAACTCAATGGGTAACCTTCACCGCGAAATGGTACAATTAGCACGAACATTTCGAAGTTCGAGCTGTTAGTGCCGTGCGACGAGTCAACCACACACTCACTGACTCGGGAGAGCTTCACTGGGAACGTGCCTTGCTGCATGCTGTGGACAAGCTGTTTCATGACAATAACCACGTTGTCGACTTGTCGTACGGTGTCGAATACAATGGACTGGCTGTCGACACAAGCTGTTTCCTGATGGTACAAAACACTGGACTTAAAAGCGTCGGCGTGTCTCTTGAACGATGTCTGCATAACCTATTTTAAGTATGAAGTGTGTGTACTGCTAAAGTATGCTTTGTATTTTCTATCTTGTTGCACAGATGCAGTATATGATGTGCCGACGGTATGTTGACCAACTTGGAGCCATCGTCACGTCGCTCTTGAAGTAAGCAGTCACGTATCTTCATTGGCGACATTGCATGGCACGGTCTTCAATATAGCTCACAAAGAAGGGATCCGTTGGCGGGGAAGCATTTTCAAGCCCAATATGGTGCTCCGCGTGATAAAAACGCACAAACACTTGGTGTCCAACGTTTGACATTGCTAGTACACCTACTGTGGGTATGAGATCTATTTCGGCTAGAAGGTCGAGCGGCACTAGGGGTAATAGTAATAATATTGGTTCACAGACTTCTATTAGGACATAGACGCTATATCACTCATAGCAAGACAATTAACATCATATCAAATACCTTTGCAAGGATACGAATTGAAACCAACACGATTGCGTTGCTTTATCTCAGGTGTCACGACACTGGAACGCCGGCGGCCCTTTGAAGCTCCTTGAATATCCTCTCTCTGCGAGCACGTGTACACGCATGTGTACTGGACGCCATTGCGGCTGGACTTGCTCGTAGCGCATTGTCGTTGCGCCGTCGACGATATGCCCTTTTTCACTCTACACGTTATAAACGAAGTAGATTCACTAGTTTAACTATGAACAGTATAATTATATAGCTACGTACCTGAATCGAAAACCGAGAGCATTCTGCATGCATTGCGTAATGAACTCAGCGGCTGAGGCAAATTCACCACTCATGTTGGTGAAATCAATTCGTATCACCATGGCGGCAGGGTTCATGGGAATCGCCCACACAGTGTCGCTGTCAAACTCCCCGAATGACCCCACGTCGAATATTAGAACATCTTCCATGCGTTGTTTACCTTGTCCTTTGTACGTGTCTGATCGGCAGATGTTACACATGGCGTATGGTGAGTTGCATACGGCATCAACGTAGGAAGTCCATGGTAGCAAACGGTTGCACCGCGAGCACGCGATCGAATACCCACTCATTGCTTAATGGCGAATCAGTGTTTGTACAGTTTGGGACAAAAAGAGAAACCTTGCTCGTTCCATTCACCCGGATAATTATCCGGACATTGCATTTACATCAAGCAGTACAGTGGGACTGAGGTTCAGGTGCGACTTAGGCTACGCTGACCGCGAACCCTGGAGGCATGTGGTGGCCGGAGGCTCTCGCCGATTCGGGAGCTTCTGGCCGCCTGGCCATGACGCCAACGTGGCCCTCAAGCCAAGCCGCATCAACGCCACCCCAAGGGGACATGTGGTGGCCGGAGGCTCTCGCCAAATTCGGGAGTTTCTGGTCACCCATGGACGACTACGGCAGCGGCGAGGACGCATGAAGGCGCAGCGACCCCCAACCACAACACCGACAGGTGGCCGGAGGCTATGCTCGATATTTTGGTTAGCCTGCCGGCCGCCACAGAAGACGAATGGACGATGCCGGCGACCGTTTTATCGAATGTGCATGCGATTATCTGCAACGTGTGGCCGGAGGCCCTTGCAAATTCTCTCGCGAGCCCTCACAGAGCCCATTTTGACGCTACCAGCACCGAACCTTCGACAATCTCCAATGTGGGGGGTTTTGGGCTTCCGGTGTTTCGGAGAAGATGGACCCTTTTACTAATACAAAACTTTTAGGTATATGTTATAGCTAATAAAATCTGCAATTATATAACATGTCTTGGAAATGTAAAACCAAGTTAGAATTTGTCTTGGAATGTTTTCAAACACTAGAAAAACAAAACAAATATGCTTTTAGGTTCCTGGATACTTTATTTCATACGAAATATAGACAAAATATACAATTTAGGTGCTTACGGGGTTTCAGGGTAGGAGAGGAGGTGCGATGCGATCCACAGAACAAAGGAACAGCTTGTTTCCAAATGAGTGAATTAAGAATTAACAGTGGGCGAGCCCATCGAGGGATCCGCCGGTTAACTATCCGAATTGTATTGGATGTTGCGGTGCTGGCTCGCAAATCAGAATTACAGATAACTCTATAAATGGATGCCAATCCATGAATCAATTGATACAGTTATACAGAAAAAGAGGTAAACAGCAAAATAGCCATAACTTCATCAATATTGCTC